CATAGACTGAGGGAGTTCTGAAGGGGAGTTCATGGGCTTCCCTCAGTCTGGTGTGTAAGGACAGACTTTGTGGTTGGTGTTTCTGTCTTGTCCTTGCTCGGTTCAGCAGGCCGGACACGTTCGGCCTGCTTTTGGGTTTTCTTTCGCCCCCCTGCAGCCTTGAAAGGCTCCAGGGTGGCTGCGATGGTCGGATTCATTTTGTGGTCATTAGAGAGTTGGAAAAATGATTTGTCCCCTTTCGGGGGTTATTTATACCTCCTCTCTGGGTGAGGTCTTAAGAAGGGCCTCACAAAAAGCTCTGATCCCTACACTCGACCCTTCAGCACCACAGGACAGGAGATCCCCCTGGGTGGGCTGAACTTGGAGTTTTGGTGTGGTAAACGCTCTGCACCACAATCCTGCTACAAGGGGGGTGTGATCACGTCACCGCAGCCCAGGCGAATGTTGGAAATCAACGTTTCCCGCAGGCCCAGGCTGCACCAGGAAATCAGAAAGAGAGGGCAAGAGTAAGACACCGAAAAGACGCCCTTGGTGCGTGGCCACAAACTATGTCCAGGACCAGAGGGTCCAGACCTGGTTTGTAACCTCGCTCTCCAAGGGAGCGGTAGTGGGGCACTTACTACAAGAGAAGGCCTGGCCAATTGTCGCGGCGAACCACGAGAAATTGGCGGTGCTCTCTGTGTAGTTTGTTGTCAAATAATATCGTAATCAAGCTCAAGTCTGGAGGCTTTAGCTCTGGAGAATCACGCCAAGTGAGTGACAACAATGCCTCGCCAATTGGGTGATCTCTCTCTGCACACCACAGGAGAGAGGGCCTGTAAGGTGTGTACACCACACGGGAGAGGACCTGCTCCGTGTGTATGTGCTATATTAACCAACACTGAGTTTTTAAGATGATATCATACAAATATAAGGCATTTGGCAAAATCCAATTCTCACTCCATTTACGCATGCAAAAAAAAAAAAAAAAAAATTCACTCGCAAAAAACATACATGATAACTTTTATCACAAATGCGCAATATAACAAAGGAAGTCCTCACAAGAATAACAGAAATGACTTATCTTCGTGGGCGATTACTACCTTTGAGACTTCCACTCATCTTTTAACATGTCATAGCAGCCGTTTTTATATTGCTAATGATTCTTCACAATAACTATACAATTCAGCGAAAAGGATCATAAAACTCTTGTTGCAGACAATGTCTTTATAATGGCTTTCAGCCTTACACAAACGCACATCTTAACAGGCGACAATGCAATATAAGAAAATTTGAATCGAGTTTTAATCGACTTGAATTTAATGCGTAAATATAAATGTGGCAACCACCTCGCATATTTGTACATGTCGATGTGTCACATTTGCGAGATAATTATCCCGCCACACAACCGATACATTTCAAAACCTGCTCGTTCTACTGTATATACAAGCAAGCTTGCGAAAATTTGTAAAAGTGCGAATTATTTCATAAACTTGCTTGGGGGCATAAATTCAACCAAACTTTACTTCTCGATCTCCCGCAATCGTCTTTCTCACCTGCCCACAAATATGCGGTTAAAGATCGAACTAAATAACCTCTCCGTCGGCCTACTGTAATTTACTTTATCGGGAAACGCCCATCTAGGCACCATTTTTAAAAAGTAATGCATACTTACCTTTGATCAAATATTCCTGTACAAAGAGAAACAACTATTTTTACACCGACATGGAATAAAACTTACTGCTCGACCTCTTCAATATTTTCTGATAAACTTAATATTCATACATGTCACATTACGAAACGCTGATATGTCTAAACATCCTCGGCTAAGATATAATGTTTCACTAATTAATTCACTAATTGCCATAATGAAAATTGTTAAAAGGTTCCTAAGAACAATTTATCTTTTAAAAATGTATAAAAGAGAAGGTTTTAAGCAATTGTAACACATTTTTTTTACGTTTTAGCCATAGGCTCTGTATCTAAATGAAGACGTTTTAGGATAAAATGATAAAACACGTTTGCCCTTCTTGTCATAGAGATTTTATAATTTTAACTGTATTACGCACATTTATGCACCATTTTTTAAGTAATGCATACATTTTCATCGTTACTCGCTAATTGTCGTAGCGACGAAAACCGTTAAATGCCCCTAAAAACATTTTCACCATCAAAATAAAAGAGAGAGAGAAAATATATAAAAGAAGGAGGCCAAGTAATTGTTAAATTACTATTTGCCGTTTTAGCAGCAGATTCTTTATCAAAGCAAAGGACTTTTATATGATATGATGCAGTTTGAGGATAGCATAACTCTTATGTCATAGAACTTTTATAATTTTACGTCTATTGGACACAGATAAATTCGCCTAAAACCGGGAACCAAGGATAAATTTACTCCAAAGGAGTAGAAAGTGTACATGACACTCTCGATGCAATAGGTCTTAGCAGTTGGCATGCGAATATCCATTTCTTTTTTTAAACCAAGTCATCAGTAACTATATATTTTCCATAATCATCATATTACTTGCAAACAAAGGCACTTACTTTTTCTTTCTATGCGACTGCATTAGACATTCCTGATTTTTACACGACAGTAAAGGGGCATATGGCGAGCAACATAGAGTCAAGGAGGTAAATTATAGAGGAAAGGTTAAAATCACACACCTAAAGAGAAAAAGTGGCAACCGAAGCAATATTTTTAGTACTTTTGCCATTAATGGCATGTAGAAAACATTCGCTTGGAAAAGAAAAGTCGCATAACACCATGATAAGGGAGAGAAAAGCGTCCTTTTACATAACTCAGAGAAAGAAAAAAGTGACTTTTTACTCAAATACAAGAACGACTGAAAGTATATATACATATTGGTGGGGCATATGTTTTTCAGGTCATGAAAATATAGGGCAAAACCATTAAAACGTTCTCGCATTGCTGTCATCTTTAACAGAAGACATGTATATTATCAGTAAAATAAGTTTTGTGCAATTGAATACATTTGTCTTTTCCTGTAATAATAATACAAAAAGTCAATTTGCTCATTAATACTACTAATGTCTTATTCCTTTAAAGATGTCCTCCTAAACAGTGATGATGCTTTGTCCAATATACAGATGATGGAAGACCTTACACAGACGGCTGAGAATACCGCGACTCGTCACGAGCTATTGGTCTCACCCTAGGCGAAAGTCAATTTGCTCATTAATACTACTAATGTCTTATTCCTAGGCGAGAAACCAACAAACAGAAGTACTCGTCTCGACTCCATCCGTGAAGAATTACCTGGTTAATGAATATCTCGCCTTTAAATCGCACCTTTTCAGTCATTTGACCAAGGTAAATCCCCATGTTCTAGATAGGGAGAATGACACGTCTCTTTGCTGGTCCTCGTAGTACATCCTTCTACACACCTGTTCGTTTCGCTAGTTCACGCAGTCTGTTTCCCCTATCAAACATGCCATACCTTGTTGGTGGATCTTATCCTGGCCCCACCCCCTCGGCTATACGCGATAGTCAAGAAAAAAGTAGTGATTTTGATCATAAATGTAGGTATAACATGACTTCACACGTCACTGAATATGTATCTCCAAGACTTGATATGTATTTGGAGATGCGTGTAATCATACGAGCATCGAGCTTGGAGGTCCCTTGTGATGAAAACGCAAGGATTTTATAAAGCCATAAGACAGTAATATTTCTTGATAAGTATTTGAAAATACTAATAACCCATATAATTTGTCGGAAAGAAAGGCGAAAAATTGTTGAAAACATTTCTCAGAAACGAATCTGCATAGGTTGCCAACTAATTCCATCAAGTTTTACTTCTCTTTCCTCGCAATTCATCTTCCTTTCCGCACACAGATACACGATGATAGGAGGAGATGACTTGCATTTTTTTCTGAGATGTTACCTCCGACATCGGTTACGGAAGTCTCCTTTGTTCAAAAGAGCATTTAGATAAAGGCTTATGATTATTAACCTCATCCGAGTCATTCCATAATCGTATTTTCTCAAATTTTATTATGTAAAAATATGTAATCATTCCTGTATGACAAATCTTGCTTACATACAATGTCAATAGTTTCATAAAACCTTGTTGTATAAAGAAGAAATTAAAAACATTACTATAGAGCTTTAACGTACTTTGCCTCAGAAAGGACTTTCATTCAGCAGATAAACGGTTTGTTATCACCCACCTCTGCGAAAGAGGTGGGTAATAGTGCGAATTATTTATAACAAACAAGGGTGCCTAAGAAAAAGGATTTTCATTCAGCAGATAAACTGTTTGTTATCACCCACCTTCGACTTGTCTGTTCTCTCTCCCTGTAATACTAGCTGCGGTTTAAACAAGGCATATTACTATACGTTTATTTCCGCACGCGCCGCACTCATCGCCGGCGTTGTTGCGCGCGAGAAGTACAAACGCCCGCGTCAACGGCGGCGGCGGCGGCGGCGACGACGACTGCGGAAAGTAAAGACGCATGCGACGACCGCGGCGGCGGCGGCAGCGGCGGGCGTCTCGGGGAGGAAAGGGGTGAGGGCTCTAGCTGCTACAATACAATATAAAAACGGCTGCTATGACATGTTAAAAGATGATTGGAGGTCTCAAAGGTAGTAATTGCCAACGAAGATGTCATTTCTCTTATTTTTGTGAGGACTTCCTTTGTTATATTGCGCATTTGTGATAAAAGTTATCATGTATGGTTTTTGCGTGATTTTTTTTTTTTTTTTTTTTTTGCATGCGTAAATGGAGTGAGAATTGAATTTTGCCAAATGCCTTATATTTGTATAATATCAACATCTTAAAAACTCAGTGTTGGTTAATATAGCATTCTTTTTCTTGTTTGGTTACACCTCGGGACGAGATAGCAGCGCCGTCGTCATGGAAGTGGTTGCACTTTCATACTCGTTACCGGAATACACCCTCTCGCACTCATCGATGTCGCCCGACCCCACCCGGGAGAGGCGACGTTCGTGGCAACTCGGTAATCATCGCCATGAGCGATGAGGAAGATGTTAGTTTTTAGTTGTCGCGGGGGATGGACATATGGCCCAAGTATGATTTAAGCATGTCTAGTTGTTTGTGCTAGTGTATATTTGAAGATGATAAAGGTATATTGAGTACATGGCGCAGTTTGTTTTGCTACAAGCTTAAACACGATGAATAGCTATGTGACCTAACTCACGCCGGAAATGACCCTCTTTCGACCTGAGAAGGAGGGGGTTGGGAGGTAACACCTGTTATTGGATCAATACCTTGACCTCTGCCAGCAGCTGTGTACATGTTTGTTTGTTTGTCTCTTCATCTTCTTCCTCTTACATGTTGAGACATGAGGCATAGCCATTATCATTGCTTTTGGTGAGGGGGTATATGGGGAAGCTGGAAGGGGTGAATGACCTGTAACACCTGCAGCTAGGTGCTTGTTTGTTTGTTTGTTTGTCTGCTTCTTCTCTTCTTCCTGCAGGAAAGGGGGGACGGTGTGGAACCTGTGACACCTGCTCTCAGGTTGATAGTTTGGCCCATGTCAGCTGGGTGCATATTTGTTTGTTCTTCAGCCTTTCATTGTCAATATTATTATTATTGTTTTTGGAGAGGAGAGGGCATTTTTCGGGTGTGCGTATTCTCCCTCATTAGTCTCGGTTATTGATTTTCAGTAATCGATTATGATGATTTCTTTCGGAAGTGATTAGGCCTGCTTCCTGTTATGACACGTTAAGGGGTAGCTATAGTGGTGAGCCAATATGTCCAGGGTGTGTTTGGGTGAAGGGGTGTGGGGTGGTGGAGATCCTGTGACACCTGGTCTTAGATAGTTTGACCTATGTCAGGTACACACGTTATGGGGTAAGAGGGCACCATGGGGGTGAATAATTTTGTCCGTGGTGTTTTTGAGTGAGGTGGTGGTGGAACCTGTGACACCTACTCTTAAGATGATAGTCTGACCTGTGTCAACAGGATCCGTGTTTGTTTGTTGTTCTTCTTCATCTTCTTCTTCCTGTGACCTGCAGGAATGGAGGAGGAGGTGGAACCAGTGACACTTGCTCTCAGGTTGATAGTTTGACCTATGTAAGCAGAGTACATATTTATTTTTTCTTCTGCCTTTCATTCTCAATATTATTATTATTGCTTTGGAGAGGAGAGGACATAATTCGGGTGAGCGTATTCTCCCTCATTAGTCACGGTTATATATTTTCAGTAATTGATTACGGTAATTACTTCCGGAAGTCATTAGGGCACTTCCTGTTATGACACGTTAGGTACATAGGGCGGTACTTATGGAGGTGAGGCTATTCTGTCCATAGCGTGTTTGGGGTATGGGGATAATGCATGTTTGTTTGTTTGTCTACTTCTTCGTGTCTTCATCTTCTTCCTTTTCTTCTTCTTCTTCTTCCTCTCCTCTTCTTATCATTATTGCTCTAGAGAGGAGGAGTGGGGTACCGAAATGTTGGCAGCTGGGTGCATGTTTGTTTGTTGTACTTCATCTTCTTTCTCTTCTTCTTCCTCTTTCTCGTATTCTCATTATTATTATTATTAATGTTGTTGTTTGGGAGAGGAAAGGGAGGGGGGCACCCCTTCAGGTGTGCGTGTTCTCCATCATTAGTCACGGTTACTGATTTCCCGTAATCGATTACGGTAATTACTTCCGGAAGTCATTAGGGCACTTCCTGTTATGACACGTTAGGTACATGGGGGGGGGACCCATGGGGGTGAGGCTAGTGTGTCCAAGTGTTTTGGTGAGGGTTGGGTGGTGGAACCTGTGACACCTGCTCTTAGGATGATAGTTTGACCTGCGGCAACAGGATCCATGTTTGTTTGTTGTTCCTCTTCTTCCTCTTTCTCGTATTCTCATTATTATTGTTGTTGTTGTTTTGGAGAGGAAAGGGAGGGGGGGCACCCCTTCAGGTGTGCGTGTTCTCCATCATTAGTCACGGTTACTGATTTCCCGTAATCGATTACGGTAATTACTTCCGGAAGTCATTAGGGCACTTCCTGTTATGACACGTTAGGTACATAGGGGGGGGGACCCATGGGGGTGAGGCTAGTGTGTCCAAGGTGTTTTTGGGTGAGGGGTTGGGGTGGTGGAACCTGTGACACCTGCTCTTAGGATGATAGTTTGACCTGCGGCAACAGGATCCATGTTTGTTTGTTGTTCCTCTTCTTCTCTTGTTCTTCTTCTTCTCTTCTTTTCTTCTTCCTCTTTCTCGTATTCTCATTATTATTATTGTTGTTGTTTTGGAGAGGAAAGAGAGGGGGGGCACCCCTTCAGGTGTGCGTGTTCTCCATCATTAGTCATGGTTACTGATTTCCCGTAATCGATTACGGTAATTACTTCCGGAAGTCATTAGGGCACTTCCTGTTATGACACGTTAGGTACATAGGGGGGACCCATGGGGTGAGGCTGCTGTGTCCAAGGTGTTTTTGGGTGAGGGGTTGGGGTGGTGGAACCTGTGACACCTGCTCTTAGGATGATAGTTTGACCTGCGGCAACAGGATCCATGTTTGTTTGTTGTTCCTCTTCTTCTTCTTCTTCTTCTTCTTCTTCTTCTTCCTCTTCTTCTTCTTCTTCCTCTTTCTCGTATTCTCATTATTTTTGTTGTTGTTGTTTTGGAGAGGAAAGGGAGGGGGGGGCATCCCTTCAGGTGTGCGTGTTCTCCATCTTTAGTCGAGGTCACTGATTTCCCGTAATCGATTACGGTAATTACTTCCGGAAGTCATTAGGGCACTTCCTTTTATGACACGTTAGGTACATAGGGGGGACCCATGGGGGTGAGGCTGCTGTGTCCCTATCATCACTACTATGTATACACACACACACACACACACACACACACATATATATATATAATATATATATATATATATATATATATATATGTGTGTGTGTGTGTGTGTGTGTGTGTGTGTGTGTGTGTGTGTGTGTGTGTGTGTGTGTGTGTGTGTGTGTGTGTGTGTGTGTGTGTGTTGTGTGTGCGTGTGTCTATATATATATATATATATATATATATATATATATATATATATATATATATACAGACAGATAGAGAGATAGATATACACACATTTACATATGTATGGATATATATAACTGTATTCATGTATGTACATAAAATACACACACAAAACACACACACACACACACATATAGAGAGAGAGAGATGACACATCTATTCATATCTATATTTCTCTTCATGTCTATCTCACTCACTCTCTCTCCTCACTCACTCTTTCTCTCTCCCTCACTCACTCACGCTTTCTCTCCCTCTCACTTACTCACTTTCTCTGACACTCCCTCTCCCTCTCTCCTCACTCACTCTCTTCACTTACTCTTCTCTCTCTTTCTCTCACTCTCTCCTCTCTCTCTCTCTCTCTCTCTCTCTCTCTCTCTCTTCTCTCTCTCTCTCTCTCTCACTCACTCACTCACTCACTCACTCACTCACTCACTCACTCACTCACTCACTCACTCACTCACTCACTCACTCACTCACTCCAGTTCCGTACCAACCATCGCAGAGAGAGGACGTGATTTTTCCCTCTGTGACCTGGTGTGTCCTCAGTCTGCCTAATCACCCTGACAATGGGGCCCACAGAGACCCTTCGATTTCAAGCGAACGAGTTCATGAAATATCTGTGAAGATCAAAAGCTACTTACAGTGAAAGTGAAAAAAAAACTAATGAATTCAAACCAGATATGAGTAGTTATATGAGGAATCTGTGCGGTCTCTACGCAAACCGCACCCAAAGTAAATAGGTGAAGTCTGTTTGTGTGTGACATTTTAGCGAATGATCTGACCTCAGAACACCTGTGTATACAATGGCTACCCAAGCCGGGTTTTCTCTGTTGGCGGAGATGGACATCTCAGCAAGTGACACGAATACTGAGAACGAACGAACAAAGAAAAGAGCAAAAAGACAAGTAATGAGTCTGCAGAACTTGTATCCCCCAGCCATCTGTGTGCATATTTCAGGAGGGACACGAAGCTAGTGACACATGGTGACAAATACCGTTGGGTGTCTCAAGTGCTGAAGACAGTTCCTTAAAACAAAACTAAAGGAGCCCTAGAATTAAGACTAGGTCGAAATAATATCTACGTACGCTGTAAGATTGAAGAAATTCTTACCCGTATAACCACGACCGGAACGGCAGGAGAAATCCTCGAAATGAGCAGAGCTTATGGCAGAGGGCACTGTACTAACCTCTTTGTGTTCGATGTCCCGAGGGAAATTGACACCAGTGAGATCGTGGAATACAATGAAGATATTCTACACGGTAAACGCATTCAATTTAATGGTAGGATGACACAGCGGCTCATCATCACTTAAGAAGGGGAGAAAATCCCCCAAACCATCAAAATTGTGGAGGGAATGGCACCTTTCAGGTGCGCTGTCTTCAAATCACTCACCCCATTTTGCGCCAACTGTTCCAGATGGGGGCACGGGGCACGCGCTTGTCTCCGCGAGGAGCCGTGCTGTCGGTACTGCGCGGCCGTTCACATGAGCAGGGAGTGCGCCGAAAAAATCGCACTGGGAAATCAACTCCCAAGGAAATGTGCCAATTGCAGACGAACATAATGCAAACTCTCCATTATGTGCATACCATCCGAACGATAGAACAAAAAATGCTAAAGAAGCAACAGGCTGTTCTGCCTTCTCGCAATTCCAACCCATTTCCTCGTCTTAACGATGAGGCAGAATTCCCCCAGCTTGGGAGGATAAATGTGGCGAGGTATGCAGAATGAAAACAGTCGGTCTCTCCAGCCTTACTATCGGCATCAGCTCCTGCTCCAGCGCTAGCCTCAAGGTCTGCTTCAGCCCCTTCAGTGCCAACTTCGGCTCCTGCTCCATCGCCAGTTTCAAGGTCTGATTCAGCCCCTTCATTGGCAGTTTCAGCTCCTGCTACTTCGGCATCTACTTCAGAACCTGCTTCAACATTGACATCGCTTTCGACATCTACACCACATGTCTCAGCATATACAGCAGTTCCGGCTTCTGCACCTGCTTTAGTGCCACCGCCGACTCCACAGGGAAGA